TATATATATATATATATATATATATATATATAGACTTACCAGTGAGTTCAGATACCTAAACCATCTGAGCTGGTTCCTTAGTGCAGCGGTGCAACCTCTCTAGTTTTCTAAGGCAGAGCACAACCTAGTTCCCCTGTAGCAAAAGTTCATTTTTTTCCCTCTTGTTTCCATGATCCATGACTTTAATGATGCTTATCAACATAGTTAATAGTTAGTAAATCAAGTCTACTACCTTTAAGATCAGTTTTTCTCCCTATTAATGCCCTCATTTCCACAGATGAAGTTCTGATAAATCTATAAAGCTCCCACTTTATCTCCCCTATAATAAAGAACAAAACCTAATAATATATAAAAAGTATATCTTAGTGTACTAATCTGTTAACATTTCTTATGATTAGTCAACAATTTTTTGTATTTATTTCTTCTTTCTCCAGTTCTTGTTACCAGAACAGACAGCTTCTCAGGTTTGCTTGCCTCTGCATCATCTTTTAGTCTCCCAACTCCATAAAACTCGTCCATCATCTGTTGGGATGCAGCTCTGTGGTGCTGGTGGCGATGTTGGCCATCTGCATTGAGCTTGAGGGCAGACAACATTGCTGGCAATAATAGAATCTATGTTGTTCTTAAAGAATTGTACGCAATATTGTAGAAATAAAACATCCCATGACTCAGAGAAGTTGACAAATAATTGGTAAATAGCTGAGTCATCACTGCAGAGCCGCTGTCGCTTAAAACAAGTCGAGTTAAAGCTGCTGCTTGAAACCTCAAACATTGCTGATTTAAGGACTGAGCCTAAAACTAGTTTCTCTTTTTTGTTTTTTCCTCTGCTTTTTTCCCACCAGGAAAAAACTAAGATTTACCCAGCAGTCCCTGCAGAGCAGCGAAGACCAATCAGAGTCCTCTCTCTGTTTGACGGCATTGCTACTGGTGAGGAGGAGTAAAAAAAAAAAAAGCACTTAACAGAGTTTTTTTGCTTTGTAATCTCAATTGCAGCAACTAAGTGCACATTATCCCTTTATTACATCACCTGGCTTTAGCTTTAGTGTTTTGCAATAATGCTCACCAGATTGCACAATGAATGTAGAACTGCACGGAACTGCCATGTTTGTGCCATGGGTTGATTTTTATATCATATTGTAGCTTTATACACTGATTTTAGTCGCTATCTTCATGTTCTAAAAATATTTTTGTGTTTTGTTTGTGTTTGTGGCTGCAGGCTACCTGGTTCTGAGGGATCTGGGTTTTAAGGTGGACCAGTACGTGGCGTCCGAGGTGTGTGAAGACTCCATCTCTGTGGGTGTGGTCCGACATGCAGGAAAGATCCAGTACGTCCATGATGTCAGGAACATCACTAAAAAAAATGTAAGAAACAGCATCTGTTTTTTCAGAGCCCACATGGTGACTTTAAAAAAAAACATTTAATTTTGGTCCGAGTCCACTGGTGAAATCCTTAAAGTAACCCATGAAGAATCTTGGGTTGTTCTGATTATCTTAAACAGCGGGAATAGGACACAATGTACAATTAATATCTGATCTGAGTGATCTGGATCCAGAGCTTAGGAGAGGAAATGGACCACCTGGACATGTTTCAGGACAAACTGGAATCAAACACACAACTTCCTGCTTTCCATTGGGATGCTCTTCTACTCCATTTTTGCACAATATATATTTGTCTGCTTTCTGCATTGCTCTGAACTTCCAAATCAATGCCTTTTGCACCATTTTTTCCTCACACACTATTTGCATTTGATCACTGCTGCACTTTATAAAATGGAAATGTTAATTTCACTGCTAAGCTGCTCACTCACTGTCTGAACTCTGTATAAAACGAAATTTCATATATAAAATAATTTAAAAAAAGGCCTCTCCTTTCAACTCTACACTTCTTATTTTTCATTCTTGCGGTTCCCTCTCACTTCTTGTCCAGATGTTTTCTCCCTGCTGTGAATGCAGATGCACTACATGCTGCCAGTAGCATCGAGCAAACTCTGTTAGGAAAGTAGTTCTGCTCTTTCTAGGAACAAGACTAAAAGGTTACCCTCAATCTCTATGCTGTAATTCAGTGATGGTGGTAGCAAAGGTTTCGTTGCTCATTCTTGGGGGAACTTTAAGAATCCTCGGGGTTTTGAAACCTTCCTCTTTACAGTAGAACCTCGTATTATAATAAATATTTTATCTTTGACTACATTTTTTGTGTATGTGGGGGCAATTTTGTGCTTCACACCTTTCTGTTATTGCTAGCAAATAATGACAATGGTTAATATAGCTCAAAAACACCAGGCTGCAAATCAGATGATCACTTTAATAAAGTTTATCACTTCACGGGATACTCTACAGACTGTAAATTACATTGTAAAAATTGAAAACACATGTCTGACACTGAAAAAACTTTTGGCCATGACTGTTTACATGGGCTTTCAGACATAAAGCTAATCATTGATAATTCATTCCGATCCGTTTTGTCAGGAGGAATTCTACCAAAGGTGTAACTCCCTTTTTCTAACACAAGGTGGTGCTGTTGTTCCTCTCAGATTCAGGAGTGGGGTCCATTTGACTTGGTGATCGGAGGAAGTCCCTGCAATGACCTCTCCATTGTGAATCCTGCTAGAAAAGGCCTGTATGGTTGGTACAGAGTTTGTTTATTCTGTATTGAAATGTGTTTTCTATCTCTTTTTTTTTTTTTTTACATTTCCCATTACTTAAGACTTTAACAAGTTATGGGTTTTTAGCCAGTAGCAGCACAAAAAAACTCTCAAACCAGACATGGAATTTCAATCATGTTTAAATGTCATATTAAATGTTTTTGCACCAGAAGGCTGTTTGCAGATTGTTACCTGAAATGGAAATAAAGCAGCAGTTCAGCATCTAAATTTTTAGCCCAACCCTGATCCTTAGCGAGACCCACCTATATGGATTAGATTTCTCCTTTGTAAACAACTGAAATAACTCAACAGGTTCTCTCTAATACCAACCAAAAACTTTTCCTGCAGTCCACAGAGCGTTTTAGAATCAGAAACCTTCACTTTAGGCATCAGGTCGCCACCGGTGCAGAGCATGCTGAACACTGCCAAAGATAATAAAAAACACATGGCTGCATCAGGATCTTTTTCTGATGGGTTTTTAGGCTAAATGTGTATTTTGATTTTTTTTCCCTTATACTCACATTTTAGATTTGATTAGATTAGAAATTCACAATCAACATTTACAAAACACAAACCGAAGTAGAATAAATACTTTTTATCCTTTAAATATTGTAAAAAAAAAATGATTTAAGGATAAAAAGATAAAGAGCAGAGCAGTGTATTGTAAATAACAGGACTGTGTTTGATGTGCTGAAATATATCTATGTAGAGAGAAATAAAACCAAAGCAACGTGTGTGAATAACCTTTTCTGTGAGATGAGGACAAATAAGGATGGATGTAAGTGGATTCTGATGCTTGTGTGTTTCGTTTCAGAAGGCACTGGGAGGCTGTTCTTTGAGTTTTACCGTCTGTTGAGCGAAGCCAAGCCTAAAACCGGAGAAGACCGTCCATTCTTCTGGATGTTCGAGAATGTGGTGGCCATGGGCGTCAATGACAAGAGGGACATCTCCAGGTTCCTGGAGGTGAGTGTCAGGAGGACACAGTAGAAGCAAAAGCTAATGAAAAAAATAAGTAAAAATGTTTCCCCACAATTTCAGCAGGTAAATAAGATGGAAGGAGTAGTTTTACCCTTGAAATAGGTCAACCAGATGTTATGCACCTAAAATAAGAATTTTCTTCTTTTTTTTTTTATTAATACATCATCCTATTTCATTACCAAATAGTCTTTCTTAGAAGTAGACTTCTTTCAAGAAAAATTGACTTATTTAGATTTTGATTCTTACAGTGGGATTTACGCCCCATGTGATTCCAACAGTGTTCTGACCAATTGATTCTAAGTAATGGACCTTCAAAAAAACTGTGGTGGTGGCTGCATCATGCTGTGGAGCTGATTTAGAAAACTGCAGGTTTTAGAAAAAAATATGGAAGAAGAAAAAAATATGGATATGCTCTTTCTCATCCTTCTGACATGAAAACCAACCCAGAGCTCCTCTATTTTACTGTTTCCTTCTAGATTAGCCTCCTATGGGGCTAGTTCACAGTTACGTTTTCTAACATGGATAGTATGTATGGATCAGTGCTTCTTTGTTCCTTTGACTTTTGCCTCTGTCTTCTGGAACACTAAGTCGATATAACTACCTAAGATGTTTTTTTTTACGGGAAGAATTAAGCGGTAGAAATATTGATGCATCCCTAAACAAGTCCAAATCCGTGATGTATAAACCTTTTTATCTCATAAACAAATATCATAGGCTAAAGAAATGCAATTATTTTTTTTTTTAAAAGATTTTTTCCCCCTGCTCATTAATATTTTTATGGAAACAAATAAGTCAGACATTTGAAGGAGCGGAAACAGCTGTAAACCAATTTAAATCTGAACCATGATAAGGATTTAGCTTTAGACACTTAAAGGTAATTAAAAACATCCAAGTTAGATACGTTACATAAATGAAGGCAAGGCCAAGTAATTATGCTAATTTGTTAAACTTTAGTAATGAAGAATTTCAGTCATATTGTTTGTCAGTAATGGATTTACTTTTAACGGATGATGTCTGTTTGCTTAATGTCTAAGGATTCAACTTAACCCCTTTATTACCGACTTTAGAAATCTGTGACCTACTGTTGAAAAAAAATAATGATAATAAATAAAAATAATAATAATTTAAAAAATATATACCGTATTTTCACGACTATAAGGCGCACCTAAACGTCTTTTTTTTCCCTCAAAATGTGGGGTGCGCCCTATGGTGCGGTGCGCCCTAACTGCGGACGTTGTTGAGACCACCATGAGTATGTGAGAACCTTAAAGGGGGAAGTGTGGGCGTGGCTTGTGTATAAAAGAACAGGTATGTGCTTTATGCAGAACATTGTTGTCTTAACAACCCTGAAATTGGCAAAGAGACACGCCTATGAAGCCCAGTTTAAACTGCAGGCTATCAGCTACGCAGAGGAACATGGAAATCGAGCAGCTGCGAGAGAATTCAATATAAATGAATCGATGGTTCGCAAGTGGAGGAAGCTGGAAAACGAACTCCGACTGGTGAAGAAGACGCAGCTGAGTTTCCGCGGACATAAGGCGAGGTGGCCCGAGTTGGAGGAAAGACTCGAGCGGTGGATCGTGGAGCAAAGAACGAGTGGGGCCAGCGTTGGTCACTGTTCGACTAAAAGCAGTAAAGCTGGCGGAAGAAATGAAAATTGAAAATTTTCAAGGAGGTCCATCGTGGTGCTTCCGTTTTATGAAACGGTGCAATTTTTCCATCCGGACCAGGACTACAGTTGCTCAGCGACGTCCGGCGGATTATGATGAAAAGCTGGCGAGCTTCCACTCCTTCTGCAGCAAACACATCGCTGACAAAGTCATCCAGCCAAGCCACATCACCAACATGGACGAGGTGCCGCTCACTTTCGACAACCCGGTGAATCACACCGTGGAGAAGAAGGGGACCAGCACTGTAGCGATACACACAACGGGGTATGAAAAGGCGTCGTTTACTGTTGTGCTTGGCTGCCACGCAAATGGACAGAAACTGTGGTGATTTTTAAAAGAAAGACTTTGCCTAAAGAGGCTTTCGCAAAAGCCGGCATCATTTCCAAGGAGCCGCCCGGCACGGAAAGTGACTCTGTTTAATTCAGCTGTTTAATTCAGAAACAGAGGATGAGGACTTTGAGGGGTTTGATTAATACTCTGTAATAAATACTTGAATAAAGCACAATCATACTCAGTTTTGCTCCCGTTCTATTTTTCTACCTGAAAACTTAATTCAACAGCTGCCTCTGGGCCGCGGCGCATCCGGGCTCACCTCGGCAGGTGTTTTTTCATCTAAATAATCTAAAATCTTTTTGAGTGAGAAAGTCCACCTGAAAATTTAATCATTGCAGTCAGTTCATCCAGATTATTATCCTGCCTATGTTTTAAGTTAATTTATGCGTCAATAAACTGTATCAGAGGAGTAATCACAGCCCTGTGTCATCAGCGATGTGTCTCTCACGGCCGGTTCCCAGGTTTGAATAATACTTTGTAATAAATACACCTTGCAGCTTTATTTGCTGTGATCAGTGGGAATAAAGTAGTTTTAATATGTTTTTAAGTGGGAAAATCCACCTGAGAGGACATGTACCTGTATATAAAAAACGCGCCCTATAGTCCGGTGCGCCTTATGTGTGTGTTAAATACAGAAATGGGACATATAACTGAGAGTGCGCCTTTTAGTCCGGTGCGCCTTATGGTCGTGAAAATACGGTATATATATATATAAAGCAGGGAGATTACAGACAGGGCTAAAGGGGGTTTTAGCTCATCGTAGATGCTGAGATTTCTCAGGAAAAAATGAATATTTTATGTAAGACTGACAGATTCTGACTAATCTCTGTCTGCTTTACCCAGTGTAACCCTGTAATGATTGATGCTATCGAGGTCTCTGCTGCCCATCGCGCCAGATATTTCTGGGGGAACCTGCCAGGCATGAACAGGTAGGTCCATGTCGTTGTTTTGATGTCACTTCCATGCAGTGCTGCAATGCACAGGTATATTGTCATGGATCTCCCTGCTTTAGGCCTCTTTGTGCTTCGGGGATGGACAAGCTGGAGCTGCAGGATTGTCTGGACCACGGACGAGTTGCAAAGGTCGGTCATTTAGCAATTAAAGTCCCTGAGCTAAATGTTTTTTCTTACCTGTAGTTCTCTCGTGCAGAGTAGTTAAAGCTTCACAGTGTTGACAATGTTGTCTCTTAGTTTGGAAAGGTGCGAACGATCACTACTCGCTCCAACTCTATCAAACAGGGAAAAGATCAGCACTTCCCAGTCTTGATGAATGGGAAAGAGGACGTCCTGTGGTGCACAGAGCTGGAGAGGTGAGCAGGGTGCAGGTTTAACCGGGCGTACACTGTGCAATTTTTTTCGCTCGTTGCACGCAGCTACTGCTCACACTGTACGACTAAACCTCAGGGTTTAGTGTGATTTCACAGCTCACAATTTATGTTTGGCCCGACACTCTCATGCGATCTACCTGCTCACACTGTACGACTAAAAAGCACATCGGACTCAGCTCCATAGTGAGATAGAGCTGCTCTTACTTGTCTATCCGGAAGCCAAACAAATAGAAGGGGAATATAAAGCTCATTAGAGTGAAATGCACTTCCTTGGCAATTTGTGCAATTTTGTGCTGAAAGCCCTAAAAAGAAAAAAGGCATGGCTGAGCAAATGCGGCTACTACGGTCTGTCAATTTTACAGACAGAACTGTTTGTGCATGCGCCCTGAGCGATTTGTCCATGACGATTCCTTATCGGGAGGTGGTCGTGAGAGGCTGATCGCCGCCTGTACACTACAGGACTCATGACGCACGATCAGGCTGAAAGTCGGCCCGATCGAAAGATTCTCGCACGACTGGAAAATCGCAGCGAAAATGGCACAGTGTACGCCGGGCTTTAAGGAGGAGCTGAAGGCTTTGAATCACATGCTGACTAAATTCTAATGAAAACCTTTTTTTTTTGTCCCTTTAACCAGGATTTTTGGATTCCCTGTGCACTACACGGACGTGTCCAACATGGGCCGCGGCGCCAGGCAGAAACTCCTGGGTCGGTCATGGAGCGTCCCTGTCATCAGGCACCTGTTTGCACCACTCAAAGATTACTTTGCCTGTGAATAGACCAGATGGAGGGATTCCACTCTGGAATACGCAGCAGGACTTTTATTTGACTTATTGCCCTTTAAAAAAAAAAAGAAAAAGGGACCAGAAGCGGTTTCACTCTATCAGGCACTTTTGCATGGAGAGAGTTACTTTTATCAAAACCAGAGCTGCAAGAAAAACAATAGTAGCTGTCACTGGATTATTGGCAAAATCCTTTCTGTGGTCGCAGAGCTGCAGAATTTCCATTAACACTGAAACAAATAAAACAGCTCAGCTCTAATTGTCAAAACTGTTCACATCATACAGATTCAGGCCTGGGAAGTAATGAACCTCCCTGAAAACTAGTCTGAGGTGATTTTTTGAGCGGCTACAGAAACGAGCAGGCAAATTCTGCAGCCTTTAGAATTAGAACCAAACAGTGTGTCATTTTACTTTTCTATAAACAGTAGGAACCGAGCTGCCCAGAGGACGACACTCACAATGACTGATGGATATAATAACTAATAATGTTCATAATGCAAGTTGGAGGTGAAAAATAAGTGGATTGATTACAGTTTATTGGTTGGCAGCTGAAAATAGATCCAACTTAGCAAGAAAAGGGCATAAAAGGAAGCACCCACTTGTTAGACTGACGGAAGTTAATCTCTGTGCTGCATTTAAATCATCCGAGATCACTGATTGTTCTAATTTGAATTTAAAGGTCCAGGGAATACCTGCATTCACAACCTCTGGTTCTTACCTGTTAAGCATTTGGATTTGGAAACCAGTTTTAAGATTGTGTGAAACACTTTTAAAAAAATATATTTTTTCAACGCTTGGAGGCGATTTCTTTTGTCACTGTTCGCTGTTCACTAAATTCAAAAATGTGAAATACTTGTTGGCTATGTTCTGCTACTGAATAAGGTTTAAAAAACCTCGTTCCAGCCGTTCAGTGTATTTCCACTGATCCTCAGAGGTTTGTTTTTCATTAAGGAGTTTGCACATTCCTTAACATAAAGTACTGTAATCATCAGACACTGCTGTAAGTTCATCTTATCTTATTGACAAGTTATCCTGAAGTGACCCTAAATCCTAAACCAGCCACTAAATTATATATATATATATATATATATATATATATATATATATATATATATATATAATATCCTATCTGCTCCCAGAGGCTCACCACGTACAGTTCTTTGCAGTTTCTTGTTATGTACTGTATCCAAAGAAAGGTTTACAAGGCTTGTTCAAGGAAATATTTCTGTTTAGACACATGCCTTTAGTAAAAACCCTTTTTTTTTTACAAAATAGTTTCTATTTTTGTGATTTGCTTATGATGTGCTTTAAAAAGTGCTTTCCTAAAACATTTATTTTTACTTCTTAGCTTCACTGTTTCACTAAAACTTTTCATCTTCTGCTTTACACTAAAAAAAGTATACCGGTATCTATTTTTGCTGTAGCTGCCCTTTGCAGATATTTTGCTATTAGATTAACATTATAAAGCTCGTTTTTCAGCATATTAGGAGGTTTTAGGACTCTCTTCTCATGTTTAGTGTGTTTTTGTAGGCTTGTAACCTGGACTATATTTTCAGAGTAGTTGTGTTTTTTGAACTGTTTTTGTATTACAGTATATTTTTTGCCTTTTATTCTCATGGTTCAAAGCATTTCATATAAAGACATTTTGAGTTACCTTTTTGTACTGTTTTACAACAATACAGACGAAACATTTGTCTACTACTTGTAGCTACGTTATAAGGTTTATATAATAAAACGCAGCCTTGCTGCACAAAACACAAGCAAGTGTCAGTTTTTTTTTTATTCATATCGCTGGAATCCTATGCAGGTTCTATCAGGCCTGTGTCAGTATGGAAAAAGGTAATGGAGTACAGAACAATATTTGCCTTTCCAGACTATTCCATATCTCAATGTGTGAAAAATCTGTCCGTCCATGAGAATTAATCCCATGGCAATAAGAAAGATTCCTGCCGACCCAAAGACCATCCGTTTGTTTGAATGATAACTCCCAGTTTAGGCCGCCTTCCTTTTTTTTTCTAAGCTCACTGTATAACAGCTGTCCACTGAGGTTCCACCTCAGAACATGTGGCGTTCCCCTGATACCACTGAAGAATTACAGATGGAAATCGGTTGTGCTGTAGCAGGAATATCAGACATCAACACCAAGAAGCAAATAATCAAAATAGAAACCAAAATGAAATATTTTTACCATCCCAGAAAGGCAAAATTTCTCAGTGTATTTTAATTAAATTTTTTTGTCTTTTAAAACAAAAATTCATAGAAATTTATTAAAAACAATAAAAATCGAAATGACCAAGAGACACACTAATCCTGAAATAGTTTGTGTGATGATGGACTTAATGATGTTTCAACATTTCAAACCTAGTTTATTTTGAAGATTTGATTTTCTAAACTTGGAACCTTTAGATTTTGTGAAAATATGTATTTTTTTCACCTTAACAATGAACAAAGCAGGCCTTCTAACTTTAAAAAACTTTCTTTGTTCACCTGGAAGTTTGCTACTTCCTCATATTTTAAACGTGTATTGGAGAATTTTTCAGGAATCTCTGAAAAAACCTGCCCTCTCCACCAAAAAAAAAAAAAGCCCATGCACAACCCTGTACCCGTTTCTTAGAGGGAACGCCTATTAACTGGTGCAAGAGCGTGCACAAGCTTGTTTCTCCTCGTGCACGCTGTTTAAAAGTTGCAGTTTTCACCATTTATATAAGCTTACTTTCCAAAGGAAGATTTCCAATTTTTCCACTATGGCAGACTCACCACCGGTAAGGAAAAATGGGGACAAACACGTAGGACGGCCTTACGTAAACATATCACCAAAATGATTGACAATTAGGAGGACCACTTATTTTGATGATCCACCCGGAAAAAGAATATCCTCCACTATACTTTTGAGATAGAAACATCATTTCATCTTTAAAACGAAAATAAGGCCTTCCATTGTCCCATAATGATTCAACCTTGGATATATTATACAGTTTAAAAAAGCACCTTAAAGATTCTTGCATTTGGTTTCTTTGGGATTGGATTACCTCTCTGATCAGGTTGGTCCATCTGCAGGTCCAGAAACCTGCCAATCTGATGTTTTTCCTCATAGTGCTTTGAATGGTCCAGCGCTACACGGGACACATCCCAGAACTTTAACATCTGTTTGTCCCAAGCATGTCTCTCAGTCATGTGATCAAAGGTCTGTTGATGTTGCCACTGCTGAAATCTAAAGATGACTCGACTTTCTGCAGCAGCACCAGGACTCGGGAACACTCCCATCTTTAGTTTGATGTGGACAGATTATTGAGCTTTTAAAAATAAAACATATTTCCACAGCTGCTCTTAACTGTTTCCATTTAGTAATGCTTCGTGTCTTTAATTTTCTTTGAATCACATTAGGATCTCTGTTTAAATGTGTCATAGAAATTAAGCTTTGCTTACTTTTTAGTTTTTGTTTAGTTCCAGTCAACGTGTTATGAATCTTTTGGTCAAATCCAGATTTTGTGACATTGTTTTCAATCAAATCGCATCAGCGTGCAGAGAAGCTACGTCCTGCCCGATTATCAACCAATCTTAAATCTGATCAGATTTTGTTTTGAAAATTAAAAAAGATATTATGATTCATTGCATCTTGCAAATAAAATCCAGCAGACTTCTTTAGACTTGAGTGAGAGGCCTTTAGACGCTTCTATTTATGGTTCAAGCGTTTGCAACACTGTTTATACAGGAATAATCAGAACTCCCCATCTCTCTATATTGTTGTTTGATTATCAACTATTTAAAGAACTACAAGCTAAAGAGACAAACGTATTCTATTCATGCTTAATAAAGCGGATAACAATTCCCAGGTTGCTTTTTTATTAAAGCTGTTGTTGTGTTTAACCCTTTTTTAAGAGGTTATTTTCATGTACAAAAATCTAATCTATTACAACTGTAGTTCATTAAATTGCTCCTAATATTTTCAACAAATATTTAACATATAAGGTAATAAAAGTTTGAGGTTTCATTCTGGTTTTCAGGATCTTGGCCACTCTAACTATGATTCAACTGGTTCTGATCAGACATTGTTAATCCTTTACTAAAAACCATTTGTCTTGAGTTAGGAGCTGCAGTAAAACATTACCTCTAGTACTAACGTTCAAACTAAGGTTCCATGTTTAACCTGGACCTTTTATATTTAATGCCAAATATAACTTGATTGTAATCAATGGAAAAGGCAATAAATAAATAAATGTCCTATTCGAAGGTTGACATAGACAACTAGTCCCAGGATTTGTAATTCCTCTGCTCTTTTATCTGAATGACCAAAAATGTCGGTAAAAAGCTTTACCTAACTTAAAGTGCCAAGATCTCAGATTTTTTTAGGTCTGTTTATGGGGAAAATCTGCAGATTGGATGTTACAGCAATAAAATATCAACTCCAGAGCCAAGTTTCCTGTTTGCTGCAAACTGTTTGAATAGATAACCGCATTAACTGTGGAACTACTTGTTGCTCAGGCTCTTAAGGTTTGCCCAATAACAAAGATGAAATAAAATTTGGACTTCAAACAACTCCATACTTAATCTTAAATGTGCATTCAAAAAATATTAAACCTGTTTTCTCCTCCCCCTGTTAGGAGATATTGCCTGAATGTATGGCAGCCTACACTGAGTATAAAAGCATTTCGATATAATTAAATTAAGTACGCACACAGAAACTGTCAACATAAAAAAAAAAATGTCCAATAGTTTTAATAGTTTATATTATTTTATATAAATATATATTTTATATATTATAAAGTTATTTTATTCTAACCCTTGAAAACACAAAAAACACTGCTATTTACATAGTACATGATGTCATTGTTTAATACTTGGGGAGGAAAGTGATTAGAAATGCCCCGTGTGAAAAAGCCCATCCATGATCCAGAATTTCAGCCATTTTGACTCTCATTTGAGAGCTTTAGTATGAATTTACTGCTTCTCTATAAAGTCTCCTATCCTTGCAAAGAG